AGGCCAGAACATGCTCTCTTTTGTATCTCTGGCTTTAATGTGGGAGAGAAACACCAAACCTCTACATAGCCTCTTTTTGGCAGACCGAATTCTACCTTCACAGGCAGGTGCTGTATTTCTGTGGAACAAAGGGGTTGATACCGAGTCAAGACTGGTTTTTGTGCAATTTCTATTTGTTTGATGCTGGAAAAAGACAAGTAATAGACATAACCACAAGTCAAAAGTAGACATAAAAGTACAGGCTCATATCACATGAGCCTTGAAACAGCTGTCAACATAAAAGCACAATAGAAAATAATTGGATCCAGCAAATAGTTTGGAAACACCCCGTGCTTTAACCCTGCTGAGGCTATGCACAAGTGTGCGCATCTGACTGGTAACATGAATGGGAGGTGGGATGACAAAATATATCAATAAAATGTTAAATAGTGTATATTAAATGCATCAAATGTCATTAGTCCCAATTACTTGATCAAAAAGCAATATGAGAACATGAAGAATCATAATACATATTTCAAAGAACAGTAATTATGTTAGACCAGCCTTCTCCAGCCTGGGGTGCTCCAGTGATTTTAAGCTACAACTCCCAGCATTCCTGACCATTGGTCATACTGACAAGGGCTGGTGGAGCTAGAGGGAAGTCCCCAACATCTGAAGCACTCCAGACTGGGAAGACTGAGTTGGGGCTCCAAGCTCTTGCTGCCTCAACACTGTGGGCAAAGGCTCCTGATCCATCCTGAGCAACCCTGATCAAGCAGGTCCCAAATGTATGGCAGAGCCTACATTCCACTGAATGCATGAAGACCAGGAGGGATTAGGGCTAATCTATCCATGGTGATATTTTTCTAGTGGAACATACCTGCCATAAAGAGGAGAAACAAGAGGAAGAACAAACACCAAGTACTACTATACAGAACTGTTTATAAGCATCATTTTTTCCAGAGACAGGTCACCTGATTATTCACATATGAATGTGCGGAACTGACTCCCTGTGGTAAATTCTCATGTACAGGAGTTCATTGTGACAGCTCTCAAAGCCATGTCAGTAAAGACAGTTGAAAAAAAGAAATACAAGAAGCTGTGTTGATCTATTATTTGTGTGCAAGTGCACACATGTATTCACATGCATATAATACACTGCATATTATCCAATCTATTAGGAGCAGCTGGCAGTCACAACAGTGGGTTGGTGCTCGCAAAGGGTGGGGTAGTGGTTATGATATTAGATTTTGGCTAGGTTGTGAGTTGGCTGAGCATCATGGTTCATATCCATGAAATTCACAGCAATGAAGTTCATGGCATGATTTTGTGCCAGTCACCATCTGAGCTTAGCTCGACAACTGAGTTACAACCAGAAATCAGGCCTGGACAGTGCGCATGTAGGGAAAAAGCTCCCCTCAAATGAGCTCAGTCACAAGTGAAAAAGGTTTGCATGTGTGCTCAAGCAATTAAAAGAGAACATTGTATAGCAGAAATTCTGAAAAATGTTGACTCTTTTTGAAGATGAGAAACAGAGATATGTGGCAAGGACAATTTTTGAATACATGGAAGGGAACTCAAATACATAAATACGGCTGTGCTTAGGGGTAGAGTTCAATGCACTGGTGATGGCAACCCAATCCAGACTCAAATAAACCACAGTTTGATTGTAGCAGCTAAAATTGGAAGCAGACACTTCTAGGGGCTTGTCTACTATGCCTGGCTCAGACTAAGCTTAAAACAAATGAAAGGGCAAATGGTCAAGCAAAGAAGTTAAAGTTCAGCAAGACAGCATTTCAGTGCTAAACTAGTTAGCTGGCAAATAATGGTCAGTGCACAGTATCACCAGGCAAGAGGATGAGTTCCAAAAAGCAATCATAAATGCAGTAAAAGAAGCAGAGTCCAAAGCACAACAACATCACATTTCAGGCACAAAACAAGATCAAGGAAGCAAAGGGTACCAGGCACCAGAGCTTGTAGGAAGACACTGTTCTAGCAACAGTTAAACTGGAACTGAAGGCATATCCAGCTTGACTTCTAAAAGCCCTACTTAGTTTCTGGCCCTCTGGAAAAAAGCCCTGCTCATGAATAGGGTCTTATAGAGAAGGAAGACTTTACTCTTAACTATTATTTTTCTGCAAGTGCTGGAAGCTTACATTGATTCTCTGCCCAGAACCTTTGCACAGCCCCCACGTCCCAGATGCCAAAATTGCATTGTTGGCAAAAATTTGGCAGTGAAACAATTTCACTTAAAATGCACTTGCTTGCGAAGGAGGCATGTGCTGCCCACCTGCCTTTTTACACTGTGAAATCACAGCCATTTTTCCTGACACTTCAACTAATTCAGTGGAAGTGGGGTGCAGCAACCATTGGATCTGAAATGTGGGGCAATGAGGGCCCCCCAGACCCTGGAATATGCCCACCCAATTCAGAGGGTATGGAGCCTTGTTTATAACTAAAGCGCACCTAGACACATCAATAACAAGTCCAAGATCAGTTGGCAATTCCATGGAACAACATTCTAAAGCCAAAAATAATGGTTTAATAAAGAGGACGTCTCTGAGCAGCACTTTTCCTTTATTACTGAATTGCTACAGCCTCATGCTCCTTTGTTCACTTATAATTTATCAGTGGGTTGTCTTGGAGCATGTACTTTTCAGTACAAGAATGAAACCACAGTATTTTCCTCCCTAAAAAATCCATTCCTGCTTTCCTTTCTGTCCCTTCCTTCCTGCAGCCTCAAAATGGGTCTCATTTAAGTTACTAGGAAACCAATAACGTTTATTTATTAAAATGTACATTTCATGACTCTTCACCACTGTGATGCATTATAGTCTTCCCCATCTCTGCAATTAACTTTGCAGCTATTGTCCAGGGCTCCAGGAATTCCTTATGGAATTTTACTTCTCTCTCTAGTGCTAACTATGGTAGAACAGAGCATGGTTGGATTTCATTAACATTCAGCAGATTATACATGGATGGAAGATGGAGATACCAAATCAAGTTCTATCAAATTCAACAACCTTCAATTTCAACATGGAGGCACACATTATACTTTGTGAATAATTTACTTGGATATGTAAACTAGACTATAGTAAAATATGTAGTCTAGATTAGGACACCAGTGGCTCTTTTTTCTCATTTAGCAACAGCAATTTTTTACTACAGTCTTCCAGATACGAACAATTGCTATCCTTTCAAATACAAAAAGCCTTCTGGCACTTCTTCCTGCATTTCATTTCCCTCCATCAGGGAACATCATTGACTCAAAGGGAGTGTAATTTTGCATTAAGCAAGCAAATAATCTCACATATTAAAGAACTTGTTTCTGCTGGTTATTCCCTACATCTTTTTTTTAAAAAAATTTGAGAATCTCTGAAATAACCCAACCGTCACACCAGCTTGTTTCTCTTCCTTGATGAAAATATTATCTTAAATTCTATTATCATGCACATTTAATCTTAATAACACACAAAGAAACAAGATCACAAACCACCTATTTTTCCATTAGCAGAAGCAAAATTATATGGCAGCATTAATTTTTAATTAATTAATTATATAGCAGAAGCATTTCAGTAAAACCAGGATCCTACACAGCTTTGCTAAACAAAATAATCACAGTGCCACCTTCTACTAAGTTACCAGTGTCATTGTCATCTTTTTATATATGGTAATGCCTGTATTTTCAAGTAAGAAATATTTTGTACATATTTTTTCAAAACATTCTATATCTGCCTACATTTTCATTGCAGAGAAACCCCTCCTGAAAAATTAAATGAGTCTAAAAATACTAAGATACTAAGATAAGTTATTTTATCATTTAAAAAGTTTGTTATAAGGTACTTTCACATGGCATTTATTCCACTATTGGCTATACTACAGTGCACCTTTGGCTTGCCTTCAGTAAAACTAACAAGATATATCCTCACGGAATTTACACCCATTTTCTACATTTTATTTCCATTTCTGTCACTGAGAGGATGGCCTTTGATCTCTAGTACTTTGCATCAAGTAATCTTTAACTAAACAAACCATGCTGTGAAAATCATATTATAGGTCCAAAAATTTAAGTTATATCCTACCACAAAATCACAGTACATTGTTTCTTGATATACAGAGCCAGAGATCTGGCTGCATAAAAGGGCATCTAGTAGCCTCTTTCTTTCTTGCTAGGTGCCCTAACATGCTATCATGACACTGGAGGAGCCTGCAGAGGGGAACGGGTTGTGGTATGGAGAGCAGAGGGCAAAGGAGGAGACCCAGGTTCACCTCGGGCTGAATGTTGAGGCTGCACACCAGGGAACTTCAAATAACCATGCAGAGAATGCAGATAGTCCCAGCAGTGGAAACAGACCCATTGAGGCTGATCCCGTTCAGCGCATCATCCTTTCTGTGTTCTGATTTTCTAAAATGTGTATAATCAGAGGGTGTCCAGCTGGATATGCACATGATTACAGATGCTCATTCTATTCATTGTGTAGCAAGCCATAGCATTCTGTAGCTTTATGATGCTGCTTAAGATCTCAGTTAAAACATGAAATAGCACCTGCTCAGAATAATTCTTCTTCTTAGCTTTAATCAGAGATGACAAAGAGTTCTTTATTTTGTTTGTTGCTCTAAAATGTGGGCCATGTAGAATGTGGGCCATTCCATAAATCATGGAATGGCAGTGGGAGAAGAGAAATGTTAGTTGTGTTCTCTGCAACTGAAGTGATACAAATAGCTGTCTAAAGGGGGTGCCATCAAACCATTAAGTCCTAAATTTCCCACTAGGAGAAGACTGTAGAAAAATGGGTGAAACTACATTCTGCAGAAGAAACTTGAACAGTCAGAAAGTTTGCTTCGTCCCAGCCCATTTCACAGGCAAGTATCTTGATCAAGCCCAGTCACCTTAATTTGCTGAAGGAGAAACCATCCATAAAAGATGAAACCACAAGAACTGCCAACACCGAGTTCCAGAAATTATGCTATAATGATCTTTGTATGCAACAATATCTAATAGTAAATAAATATTGACTTACCTAATAAGAAACCTATGCAGTCCAACATCAAAGCTCCTGTAGAAAAAAATGTGTAGGTGTACGATATCAGAAATATGATCAATTAAAATATTTATTTATTTCAGGCATTTATTTCCCATCCTATTGCCAAGTGCTCAGGACGGCTTACAAAATATATAATATAAAGTACAATATAAAATAGAAAAGTACAATATAAAACATCAATTATTAAAACAATATAAAACACATCATGAACTTAAGAAAAAGGAGGGGGGGAAATAGAAAGTGCGACTGTGAAGGGAAAAATCCTAAAACATCTAAAACCATTGGTTATTAAAATAATGGTTGAATAAAAAGGTCTTTACCTGGCGCCAGAAAGAGTATAATGTCGGCGCCAGGCGGACCTCTCTGGGGAACAGATTCCATAGCCAAAAGTATTCTAACTGAGACAGGGCTGGGAGTTCCTGAATCAACTCCTTCATCAAAAAGAGGTACTACAGGTATAATCAAGCACACAATACTACACGTTTTAGGACTCTCGCAGTAAAGAAAAAAAAATTCAAATCAGAAGTTCACATCCAATGAAAAGCAATTATAATGAAAATCTTATAAGTGTTTACCTCTTAGACCTGTTTGCCTACCTAAAAAGATAGTAAGAAAGGAATGCTTGCAGTCTCTAGATATACCAAAACCATGTTGGGTCAGAACATGGGTCCAAACAGTCCAGCATTCTGCTTATCCTGTGATAAACCAGCTGCCTTCAGAAGACACACAGGCTGGCCACAAGTGCAACACGCAGCTTCCCCAGCAAATGGTGCGCACAGGCATACTGTCTCTGATACTGGGGGTAGCATATAGTCATCATACTGGTAGCCATTGACAGTTTTCTCCTACAGGAATTTGTCCTATCCTCTTTCAAAGCCATCCAAATTGGTGGCCATCACTACATGGAAGTAAATTCCATAGGTTATGAAGGAATTGGTCCCAAGGCCTGCTGTACCTGTCATTATACTGTTGCGTCCTGGGGGAAGAACTATATAGCAGCAAGCAATCCCCTCCAGAGCTAGCTTCAGCAACACTGGCCTTCCCGTAGCTGCAGTGCCTGCACCTTGTCTGACTGTGCTGCATCTTCCCTGTCTTCTGCTATGGGCCTCCTGTGCCTGCATTCTGCCTGACCTTTCCTGTTCCTGGTTCCTGTTGTGTATCCTGCCTTGTCCTGTTGCCTTGCTGTTGTGCCTGCCTCTTACCTGGCCTGTACCCTGCCTCACCTTGCTGTATTGCCTCAGTGAGGCTTGCCTGCTAGCTGTGGTTCAGCTCCTGCACCTTGCCTGGCCCTTGCTGCATCGGGTTCCTGTTGTCTCCTACATCTTGCCATGTATCCTGTCTTGCCATGTCCCTTGCTGTGCCATGTATCTTGCCTTGCTGTGACTCTGGCTCTAATACCCTGTCCAAGGTATCTGCACGTCTGTCTGTCCTCTGGTTCTTGGCTCTTGGCTTGTTTCTGACCACATCCCCTGCACTCATGTACACTTCTGGTCTTTGACCTTGGCTTGTACCATGACTATGATTTGGACTTTCCATTAATCCCTGCTTTTGGACTCTGTGTTGCCTGGTACCTCTTCTCTTGCCTTGACTCTGGCTCCCCATCTCCCAGCTGTGGACCCTGACACTTCCCACCTGGGATAGCAATAATGCACTGATCTGAAAGCCAAAACTGTGATTAGTTTGCATTTACTGCGTGACTGGCGGAAATGATGAATCAGGCCAGGCTGTGTTGCAGATGCTCTGAAATTATTTTTCAATGGTTCCATTTCATCTTTACCATTTCTTTATTGTCACAGCCAGTCTGAAAGTATCTTGATTGTTTGACAGTGTTCCTGCTATATTGTGCTGTTTGTTAAATAAAAAGGCACGACTATATTAGACTTATTATAGGTCTTGACCTGAACTAGTACAAACCACCTTATCTCTAAATTGCATTGCTTCACACCAGCTGAGGCCCTCTCTCCAAGCATTCATTCACTGGAACAGCAAGGTCAGAGGACAAAAGAATACCATTCCAAGACTCCATTCTAATTTCAAAAGAGAGAAAGAAACTTCCTTTTCTACCACATCGAAATACTGCCTGAAGAGTCTTACACCAACAGTCAATGCTGTAAGGCTAGGGTGGACTTTGGATGTTGTGTTTTGGATGTTGTTGAACTCTTAACAGCCATCAGCACTAGCCTAGCATGGATAAAGAAATGAAGGGAATCCTCCATACATCTGCCACACCACAGTTTGCTTTCCCTTGTATAAGCCCTCCCATGTAGGATCTCCCATGAGTCTGACATATTTAATCATAGGATCTGATCTTGATAAAATAATAAACATCCTCACAGTTCCTCTGACTTGTGCTGACTTCATAGCAGTGGTCTCAGGAGTTCCTGAAGCTCTCTGATCATCACTTCAAGATCTAATAAACTGGGAGAAAAACAAACTGGGAATACACTTATTTTAATATGCATTTTAAGTGCATATTAAGATAGGGATTAAGACAGGCAACATAATGGTAGTTAACCTGGTTAAAAAGGCAAAATATTTTGAAAGCCTTTATTTATGACACGTTTATTCTTTCTTTCTCTAGGGAGCTGAGGTAGTATTCATGGCTCTTCTCAATACTTTGTTCTCACAACAACCCAGCAAGGAATTTAGGATGAGAGATTGTGCCCGGTTCAGGGTGAGTTTTACTAGTTGAGTGTATGGAAAATTACACTTATAATCTGCCTTTCCTCCATAGTGCTCTAGGTGGCATTCATGCCACTGCTTTCCCACATAAAAATCCTGTGGGAAAAGTCAGTCTGACTCACCCAAAGTTACTCAGTGAGCTGAGCTGGAATTTGAACATTGGTCTTTTCTGTCCTAGTACGACACTCTGCATCAGTAAGGGTTGAGATATGCTTTGAATGAGATGAAAACTGAGATGTCTCATTCAGCCAGACTTTTCTCATTCTGGATCTTAGAAGATTTCTATAATTCTACTTTAATAGCCAAATAATCAAGCATTATAGACCAGCAGCAGAATTTTGGCACAAGCTAAGTCAATGGGATTTTTGCCATTCATTCAATTGTGTCCAGAAAGTCTATCAGGGATTTCATTTGTTTTGGAAAGTAGTTGCTCTATCCAAAACTGCTCAAGTAGTGCCAGGGCAGATAAAACTCCACAGCTGACTGTCTTGAACAGACCTAAGCATAACAGTTAACTGCTTGCCAGGAGAGGCTAGATCCTCCTGAATCAGTGCGGTTCCATATTCACTGCAGCTTTTATTCAATTTTATAGGAGTTATCCATGGCACCTATTCTGCAGATGGAGTTCAACACAGGCAGTGCCTAGAAAGCTCAGAAAAAGCACTGCGATAAAGGAACCCAGTGACAAAGAGGTTGCCAGCCAGCTGTGTTCCTTGCCTACTAAATCTTCCCCCCACTCACTTGGTGATGGGATACAGGAAGATGGGATACATAAAGATTATATTTATATATGGAAAGCAACACAAACCCCAAATTCAATTTATTTCCAGAGGATCCAAAGCAGGCAAATACTGGGGGGAAAAACAAATCAAGTTTTGATCTCAACTTAGCCATACTTACAGCCATTAAAAGCAATCCCATTAAAAGCAATCAGAATTATGTTAATCATAGAGTAAGTCCCTTTTACTGTGGCTACTTGATATATGACTATGTTCCATTTGCTCTGTGGCAGAGGCTTCAAATCTTTACTAGGTGGATGACTCTGAGGTTGTAAATGAATATCCAGAGATCAGCCTTGCCATTGATGACCGGAGCTGGTAGCTCAGGGGAATGCATGCTTTGCAGGCAGAAGGAGCTATACCAAATCCCCTGCATCTAAAAGTATTTTTGGTAGCTGGGTTTGGAAGCTGGGTTCGGAAGCTGGGTTCTTGTCTATCCAAGTAACAGTTTAGCTCATTCTTTCCCAAGGTTCTACCCTCCAGATGTCATGGACCACAATTCCCATAATTTCTTTCTTCTTTTTATTTTTCCTTAGAAAGTCTTTTGGTTGGATCTCAAGGTGCCTTTCACCTTCTGCTGAATGGAAAGAAATTGCCACTGGGTTTCCATCCTAAACTGCACCTGATGCTTTTCCAGAAACTCTCCCCACTCAGCCCTTTGGAAACTTTCAGGGGAACATTTTCCTGCTTCTATCAGACACCACTCACAGAATCTTAAAGATCCACACACCCCATATTTTGCATGTCATAATAAAGCAGAACATGGTTGTTAAAGACTCTCTATATTTTCCACAGATACATGCTCACACAATAATTCAGTCATTTTCAATGTGCCTGTGTTAAAAGGGGATAAGGGGATAATTGCACGTGCATGTTGGAGGAAAGAAGGAGCAAGTTCCCAGATATAGGAGGCTGCGCCTTTGGAGAACAAGAGAACATACATGGTCTACATCTATACACTCAGGAGCAGGTGAGAGAATCTACTTGGTATAGGATGATAGATGCTTTATGTAGGATAGCAAGAATATTCATGCCATTTTCAAGGCTATTTAAACTGTTAATTTATTCAGTCCCTTAAGCAGGTACTGTGTATCTTTTAAGCTTGGATTTCAAAAGCAGTCACTTATTCATGGATGGTCTGAACCATAAAACTAGAATATATCAGTACCATGGACAGCTCTTCCAAATACAGACCTCCTTGAATAGAGAAATATTTTTGACACTTCAGGGATTGCCTGGCCTTTGAAGGAAAAAGAAATGTAGCATCATTTGGGGAAAGATGTTTGCAAGCTTAAAATGACTTCATGGAAATATTCACTGAGGTCAGCATGATTTTAATGCCTCCAATTATGATGAAATTTTTATTCCATTCAGCTACTTGGATTTTTTTTAATAGAAATGGGGAAGAGTCTCTTAGTACACTGAAACCAAAAAACAGATAACATCACACAAGTGTGTGCAGCTCTGCTCTTTCTTTGCTTTCAAGCTTCAGTTGCTGAATAACTCCCAAGAGGATAAAGATATCAAGGAATGGTTAGATATCAAGCAATG